ATGTGGCGGTTCTCCAACGGCCTGAGGGACAGTGAACTGGCCCCCTGTGTAAAAAGTCTGGGGACGCCTGGACTAGGGTTTGGATCTTGCTCTCTCCCTGACCTCTGAATGTTAGTAAGCCCTAGGACTTAGTCCTTGTCTCTTCTTTATATATATTCTCTCGCAGGGAGCTCGTTTATGCCTGGGCTTTATGATGTAACAGCTATGTGTTAATGACTTCCAATTTTCCCTCTCCAGCCTTCCTTGTGAGCAACAGAGGTACATATCCACCAGTCTACTCAGCTTCTCCACTTGACTGTCTAATAGCACATCCTGTTTAATGTGTCTACATCAGAACTTTTGATCCAGCTCCCCACCTGCCCCCCACCTGCCGGGTCTCCATTTCAGCTGAAGCCCTGTGTTGCTCACTTGGCTCTCTAGGCTCAGAGCACAGGAGCCATCCTGTTTCCTCTCCTCTCCACTCATGCCTCCTCATCCAGTCCATCAGCTGTTTACACTATTTGTTCCACATCCAGCCATTTCTCAGTGCTTCCTTTCCATCAGGCTCCTGGATTACTGTAATGGCCATAACTGATCTTTTTGCTTCTGCTTTTGTCTCTCTTGTAACCTATTTTCCGTATAACAGCCAGACTGATTGAAAATATTAAAAATATAAACAAAACAGGCTCAGTGTGGTTGCTCATACTTGTAATACCAGTGTTTTGGGTAGCTGAGGCAAGAAGATTGCTTGAGTCCAGGAGTTTGAGACCAGCCTGGTCAACATAGTGAGACCTCATCTCTACAGAAAGAATTAAGCACATGTGGTGGCATGTGCCTATAGTCCCATCCACTCAGGATGCTGAGACAGGAGGAACCTTGAGTGCAGGAGTTCGAGGCTGTGGTAAGCTATGATCGTGCTACTGCACTCCAGCCTGGGTGACAGAGCAAGACCCTATTACTTAAAATAATAATAACACGCATACACACACACACACACAGACAGACCATATAAACAAAACAAATATAAATCAGATTATGTTACTCTTCTGTTTAAAACCTTTCAGTAGCTCGTTATTTTGATTAGAATAACATCCTAACTCCTTTTATAACTTGAAAAGTCTTATGATAGAAATGAAAGAGACTAAAGAATCAGATTCTCTGTTTTGTTCTCAACAGAGAATAGATCTTTATAAAGCATTGATCTATTTACATAGATCACCAAATAGTCAGACTGTTAAACCAAATCCCCAGCCATTGCTGCCATAAATAGGGAATAACTTATGGGCTGTGTATTAATATCAGTATATTATGATATATCAATATGTAAAATTAATATTCACAAACTTGTGAATGTAAGCAAGGAAAATGACTTAAGATGTGATTTGGGATTGTTTAGTCTCATAATCATATAAAATATAGATAGAGAGAGGTCTGTTGCCTGCCATTAGTTTTGCCATTGACTATTGAAACAGAAAGCAATGAGAACATCTCTTTGTTGTTAAATAAGAAATCTGATTTTTTAAAGTGAGGTTTATTATTCCCAATTATATCATCAAGGTGCACTCTTTGCAGAAAATGTGGCAAATACAGCTAAGTAGAAGAAAACTCAAATAACCTTCCACCACCTAAAGGCAAACATTAACAGTTTGCAGTGTTTTTTCAATATTTAATCAGAAACGTTGTTAATATGGTTTCATATATTGCTTTTTTCCCAGTAAATATTTCCCATTATTATTATAAACTCTTGAAAATTTTTAAAAAGTAGATTTTCTGTATAAATATAAAGTAATGGTTATTTTTGAAAATATGTAAATATCAGAAAAAGTTGAAAACAGCAAGTATAAATCTCACTGGTCAGAGACATTCTTGCCAAATTTATTTATTTTATTTGTTTATTTTATTATTTTTTATTTCTTTATTTATTCTTGCCAAATAAATTTCTGTTATCCATTTTCTTTGCATTTGGGGATAATTTAGTGGCTATAGATTAGATTTAAAGTGAAATTCTATCAGAAGCTCATTTAGCTTACATGAGTTTCAATAAAAGCCCTTCAAGATGTTGGAGGCTGGAGGTGGGTAGGTGGGAGGGGGAGGGAGGGAGGTGTATGTGAAGGAGAGGTGGAGTGAGCAAGAGAGCGTATTTCCACTCTTAGGCAGTTTCAGTTACATGGCTGTCCATTCACTCGGTGGGCATATGTCCTGGACTAAACTTGACATGGGAAAGCCTTTCTCAACCAAGAGAATGCAGTCCTAATTCCCTAAAGCATCCAGTTTATGTGATCAATTACGTTCTCTCTCATGCATTTAGGATGGCTCCAGTGATGGGTCATGGTTGGGAGAACTGAGAAAACAGTCACTGGGTTATTTTGTGTTCTGTGGTTGAGATGAGGCACACTGTTTGAAAAAGTCTGCCCGAGTCCATTGTCTCCCAGAACCTCTCATGGCAGCACCACACTGAGTGTGAGTCTGGTCATTTAAGATGTGGGCTTCTGGGTGTGACACAGTCACCAGATGCAAGTCTTCCGCCGCATCTGGTCCTGTTCTAATAACACCAGAGGGAAATACTCTGATGGGCCTTTGAAGTTTAGGTTTGTTTATATTCCATTTAGTCTTACCTGTTTGACTTTAGAACCTGATCCTTATATAAGAGATTAAACCAATGAGATTAAACTTCAGAACTATTTAATGCAATGGATAGAGTAGAAGAAGGAGGACACTTTTAAAAATATAGTTAGCAGAATGGGTGAAATGGAGCTTAACAGCAGCATCTAGTAACAAAAAGAGCTCTGTGGGTTTCAGTCAACTGTTAAGTCAAAGGAATAAAGTTCAAGTAGAATGTTGGCAGTGACTGCACATATGATTGGGGGTGGAGAATGTCAAGATGGCACCGTGAAGGAAGGAGGTGTCTTGGGGCCTTTCATGTGCCCAGTGGACCGGTGTTCGTTAGTTCTTCTAGTGGTGATGAGTTGGAGAAAGCTCCGAAAAGAGTTCAAGAATTGTGTTCCCAGGCACCATCTAGAGAAGGCATGATTTGAGGACCTAGGAAAACAAGAAGATCATGCCAGAAAGGTACCTTGTATGAGGTGCGGAAAATGATAGGACATTGGCCTGAAGAAGAAGGTTTTCATTGTTTGAGGATGTGGGAAGAGCTGTCAGACAATCGGAGGCAGTCAAGCTCTCCTCTTTCAGAGTTTCTGAAAGGGGGAAAAGGCCACAAAACATGATTTACTTTAAATTGAATTCAAATTCGAGTTCAGATGTATATTTTTTATTTTTATTTTTTTTTTCGAGACGGAGTTTCGCTCTTGTTACCCAGGCTGGAGTGCAATGGCGCGGTCTCGGCTCACCGCAACCTCCGCCTCCTGGGTTCAGGCAATTCTCCTGCCTCAGCCTCCTGAGTAGCTGGGATTACAGGCACGCGCCACCATGCCCAGCTAATTTTTTGTATTTTTAGTAGAGACGGGGTTTCACCATGTTGACCAGGATGGTCTCGATCTCTTGACTTCGTGATCCGCCCACCTTGGCCTCCCAAAGTGCTGGGATTACAGGCTTGAGCCACCGCGCCCGGCCTGATTTTTATTTTTTAAAATTTCAATCTTTTTTTAGATTCAGAGGGTACATGTATAGGTTTGTTGCGTGGGTGTATTGTGTGATGTTGAGGTTTAGGGTGCGGTTGAACCGGTCACCCTGGAAGTGAGCATAGTGTCCAGTAGTTTTTCCTCCCTCCCTCCTTCCCTTCCCCCTCTCCAAAAGATGTGTGTTTTTAAGGTGTCTTGATTCATAATAGGATAAAAGAAACATATGCCTAATTGTATTGTTCAAGAAAGGTCTTACAATGATAAAGCCAAGCCTATAAGAAAGATCTGGAAGGATAAGACGTGTGAAGGAAGGTAAAAGACCTAATTTTATGGGGGAAAAGTATAGAGTTCTGTTTTGTCATTTTTTCAGTTATATATTCCTAACTATGAACTGGGAAACAAGGCACACATGTCAGGTGGTTAATAGATATTCTTTTGTAATACAAACAAGTTGTTTGTAACTTTACGAAGGGGAAATGTGGGCTTCCTATTTTAATCTAAACACTTTCAGGTAGTGACAGTATCTGTGGCCTTCTTCTCAACAAAGGATATCCTCCCCATTTCCCATCACAAGTTATTGGATCACAAGAATAGCAGACATACAGAAGCATTAATGTGTGACAATCAGGAAATAATTTTCTAAGCATCCTGTCACATTTTCAAAAGTTAATTTCAGTTCGGATTGGTTCTTGGTTATAACTTTCATGGAGATACTTCATACACATATGACATATATTATATTGTGTTAGTATATCAGATGATGTTTGTTTTTGCTTAAATAGTCTTACATCTGGCATGTCCATTTTCTTGAAAATAAATGACAACTTCCTATTCAGATGCTAGTTTGACCTCAGTGTTGACCAAAGACCTTGTCTCCTGAGTCCAGCTTTTCCTCCATCTTGGTGCTTACCAAGTTGATCTTGTTACCATTCCTCTTTTGGATGAGGTAAAGTCAGAATTAAACCTAGTATTTCAGTGTCCTGGTTGTGTAGTCACTTAGGTGGCAGTGTCTTTGAGTGAGTAACATGCCCATTATCTGTTTTTGTTTTTTGTTTTGTCTTTTTCTTTTTTTTGAGACGGAGTTTCACTCTTGTTACCCAGGCTGGAGTGCAATGGCGCGATCTCGGCTCACCGCAACCTCCGCCTCCTGGGTTCAGGCGATTCTCCTGCCTCAGCCTCCTGAGTAGCTGGGATTACAGGCACGTGCCACCATGCCCAGCTAATTTTTTTGTATTTTTAGTAGAGACGGGGTTTCACCATGTTGACCAGGATGGTCTCGATCTCTTGACCTCGTGATCCACCCGCCTCGGCCTCCCAAAGTGCTGGGATTACAGGCTTGAGCCACCGCGCCCGGCCAAGACGGAAGAGAAAGAAGGGAAACCAGAGTTGCTGATTCGGTGAAATCTGGAAATAGCATTCTCTCGTGGGGGAAAAGAGCACAAGTGTTTCCGCCTGGGATCGAACCGGGGACCTTTCGCGTGTGAGGCGAACGTGATAACCGCTACACTACGGAAACCAGTAGGCCTGTTTTTTTTCTTAAAAAAGAAGATAGCTTATGTAAGTAGGCCAGAAAGATAGACCACATTCTTTTAAAATGCCCACTTTATACAGAAAATAAGTAAGTTCTAGGACTTACACGATCTCTGCTTTGATTCGGTATTCTCAAATCCCAGGAAAGTTTCTCTTCTGATGTCCACTTAGTTGTTCTGTTCCACCTGTTGATCCCTTCCTCCATCCCCAAAACTTTGAGCAATCACTGGTACTTTTACTGTCTCTAGTTTTGCTTTTTTACGGAATGTCATAGAGCTGAAATCATACAGTATGTAGGCTTTTCAGACTGGCTTCTTTCACTTAATCCTATGCGTTTGAGATTCCTCCGTGTCTGTCTGTAGCACGATAGCTATTTTCCTTTGTAGCTGAGTAACACTCTCTTGTCTGGAGGTACTGCAGCTTGTCTGTCCATTCGCCTATTGAAAGGCCTCTTGGTTGTTTCCAGTTTGGTCAGTTAGGAATAAAGCCACTCTAAACATTCTCATGCAGGTTTTCATGTACGCATAAGTTTTCACCTTGTTTAGGTAAATGTCAAGGAACCTGATCGCTATATCATATGGTCACAATATGTTTAGTTTTTGAGAAATTGCCAGACACTCCTCCAAAGTGCCTGTACGTTTTTGTCTTTCTGACAGCAGTGAGTGAGTTCTGTTGCTCCACACCCTTGTCAGCTTTTGGTGTTGTCGACGCTTTTGCATTTTAGCCATTCTAATTAATGTGTAGTGGTACAGTATCTTACTGTTTCAATTTGCAAGTACGTTTATGTATGTTGGTCAGTCATGAAAATGGCATACTATGATTTTTGTCTTTGTGGGCTTAACTAGATAGTTGCGTTAATTTATCGTTAGTTTTGAGTTTTTGAGGGGCTGGGTCATTTATCATACAAACATTTTTTACACAAACGTTTAGCATCTTTCCTGTGCCTGTACTAGAATATCAGAGACTGCACTAGGATGTCAAAGGCATTTGAAGATGTGGGCCTTGCTGCCTAGGAGCTGATAGTCTAGTAAAGGAACAGATAATACAGGTGATAAGGGACTTTGATATACAGGATCTTACAAGAGATTTTTACAAAGTCACTTTCCCGTAAGTAATATTTGAATCAAATTTCAAAGGCCGTTCAGGAATTAGGGAGTGATGGTGGAAAGAAGGGTGCTAGAATCAGGGCGATCATTCTTTACAGAGGGAGCTGAAGTAAGACACACGAGCCCCAGTCTGTTGAGCCTGTTTGGGAAGTTTAGGTTTTTTAGTGGCTGTTACAGGATGAGAGATACTAATACTTCTCCATTCTTATTGGAGAAGTATCAGGACTTAAAGCCAAACCTTTTATACCATGATACAATTTTTGCCTTTGCTTTTAGCTAGAGTGGCATGCCTTTGAAGGGTTTTATTCATGGGAGCGAAATCAGGTCTGTCCGATGATTCTGCCTGTATAATGGGAGTTGGCTTTGGAAGCCAGGGATAGGACATGCTGTAATTGATTAGAAAAAATAATGACGGCCCCATCTAAGGCAGTAGGCATGGTGAGGGAGGAGTTGAGTGTGAGGCATCAAGGAGTATGCCCATGGGGTGTGGTGATTCATGGGGAGTGAAGGAAGAGAGGGAGAGAGGAGAACTGACTGAGTAGTGATACCGTTCACAGAGATAAGGTGGAGTAGATGCTAAATTCAGTTTTGGTCATGTTGAATTGTCTTCATTCTAACTCTCCGTAAGTAAACTGCTTCCTGGGAGGGAGTTTTGATCTTCTGTTTTTCTAGTTTATCTCCATGGAAAGGATCAAAGGTTATGAGTTAGGTTCTTGAATTTTCTGGAGAAAAAAAAAAGCATCTTTATTGTCTGCACTTTGAATAGGTGTTCTCAGTCAGCGGCACTAGTACTGACTTGAGTGCTTACTAATAGCCTCAATTTTGAATTAGGGGCTAGGTCTCTGCTCCTTTACAGAGTATTTGAAATCATTGAGGTTTCCGTTTCATAATGTCAGGGACTTGTTAACCACTTGGGATCTGTATCTGTGCCTGTATTCATTTGGGGGTGTTTATTTTTTCTTCTTTTTTTTAGGAAAAATGTTCTAACTAAAAAAAATTAACCCTTGTAACAATAGATAGCTGAGAAAAGAAAAGTCCTTCATGACAGTTATTAACAAGCCGGTGCACATGCTGTGCAGGCAAGTCACATACAACATACACAGCGCTGGCATGGGGCTTGCACAGAATCAAGGCCTCATTATACTATTCCAAAAGGTGTTTCTGATCACTAGCAACATGATTCTGGTCATCACATAAACTCACTCTTTTTAATAGTTGCATAGTGTTTTGTTATATAAATATATCATACTTTATTTACATAGTTTCCTGTGTAGCTATTTACCATCCACATTTTCCTGTTCTCTAAACCAAAGCAGACTCTGGTTTAGAGACACCAGCATTTCTGTGATGACAGATACATCCTATATCTGCTGTGTCCTATGTCATAGCCATTAGTCACGTGAAGCTCTTGAGCACTTGAAATGTGAATACTGCATCTAAGGGACTAAATTTTTAATTTCATTTAATTAATTTTAACTTAAATACTCACAAGTGGCTTAGTGACTGCCTTACAGGACAGCGTAGCTCTAAACTTTTCCAGAGTCAAGTGAGATCATTAAGCCACTTCCTCAGACCACATTACTTTGGCCTTCATAAATTATAGTTTAATGATTTTTCCTTGATGTTGAACTTCTGTAAGCCTCAAAGAAATATTTTTTGTTGCTGGACTCCCTTAAGGATCTATGATATGCTGCTTGAGTTTTGTTGCAGTAGAGAATTTCTCCTTCCAGATCTATCAGTATACTTCCCTTTATCAGTAAAGTGTGGCTTCCCACCTTCCCATGCATCTCCTTTTGCCTTAGTTGCATAGGAGTCCAAAGGTTTTTTGTTTTTTGGTTTTTTTGAGACAAGGTCTTATTCTAATGTCACCCAGGCTGGAGTGCAGTGGCCTGATCACAGCTCACTGCAGTCTTGAACTTCTGGGCTCAAGTGATTGCCCAACCTCAGCCCCCTGAGTATCCTGGGCCTACAGCAATGTGTTACCACACCTGGATAATTTTTGTATTTATAGAGATGGAGTCTTGCCATGTTGTCCAAGCTGGTGTTGAATTCCTGGGCTCAAACGATCCTTCTGATTTGTCATCCCAAAGTGCTGGGATTACAGGCATGAACCACCACACCCCAAAGTTAAATTTTTGAGTGAATTATAGCAGTTGTTAGATTTTTTTTTAACCTCTCACCACCATCCCTATCAAACTTCATCATTTTCTTTTCCTTTTGAGTTTAAAGATTTCATTACGTGTATTTTTTTTTTTAAATAAAGTTCTTCATATTTTTTTTTAATGATGCTTAGATTTTACATGAAGTCTTTGGGATCTATCCTAAGACTTCACTAAAAAATAATGTGCAGTGGCCAGGCACAGTGGCTTTGGGAGGCCAAGGCGTGTGGATCTTTTGAGCTTAGGAGTTTGAGACCAGCCTGGCTAACATGGCAAAACTGTCTCTACTAAAACGTAAAAAGTTAGCCTGGCATGGTGGCATGCATTTGTGGTCCCAGCCTCTCAGGAGGCTGAGACAGGAGGATCGCTTGAGCCCAGGAGGCAGAGGCTGCAGTGAAGTGAGATTATGCCACTGCACTCCAGCCTGGGCAACAGAGCAAAACTCCATCTCAACAACATCAACAACAAAAACCAACAGTGTATACATACTGATTCCCTCCTACAGCCATGCACACCCACATATCATACATCTTAGTGAGATCCTAAATATCATCACATGTGTGGGAATCCTGTTTATCGCCTTAGAGGAAACTATGCATATTTAAGACTCTACTTAAGTACTTTGTGGTTGACCGCATTTTATTCCACTGAGTTCACACTGAGTTCCTTTGCGTCCTTTGCTATGCCAGTATCATGCTTTCTTTCCTTCAGCTTTATTTCGGGAAACATACGGAAAATTTTATTTTGTATGAATTTAAAATGTGTTCTTCAGGATTTCCTAGTTGCATGCATGACAGCCTCCCCAAGATAATCAGTAACTGCTAAATGGTGTTAAAATATCTTTTCACCTTCCTAGAATAGCACTGTTAAGGTATAGAACCTTGAGAAAAAGTGTACATATAATTTTTTAAAAGTTTTGCTCTTCCTTTGTTTCTGCCAAGTTTTCCCCCCTGGATATTTTTAAGTATATTGGTACCCTTAGTTTTTATATAGATTTCAGAATTAAGAATTAGAAAGCAAAAAGAATATGCAGAAAAGTTATTAATATAACACTTTGCCTTCAAGGAAACCAAATGGAACCAGGAAACTACTCATGTGCTAAGGATAACACGCTAAACCATCTGTGTAACTCTTGGCAGGAGTGAAATGACAAAACAAGATCTTGGGGAATGCTCATCACCAGGTGCATGAACAAAAAGATAAATACATTCTCATGTAAGCAAATTGGCGTAGTGCCTTTAGCATCCCTAGGGCATGTGTGTGTGCATGTGTGCAAGTTTAGCATTTGGCATGGTTAGGAGATTGGGAGAGGAAAAGGCTGGAAGTAAAGGACTTTAGAGTCATTGTTACTGCAAACTCTGAAAGTGAACTCGAGGAAACTGCACTGGAATTCAAGTGTAATATGACGATAAACATCAAATGACTGTAGCCAAGGTGCAAGGCCGGGCTCTTCAGGAAAGAATAAACAGGAGACTTTAAAATAAACATCTGTTTTCTTATTCAGCTAACAGTGGACTTTGAAGAAGATTGGGGCCATGTTAAAATTTTCTTTTTCTTCCTTAAGAAGTGAAGAAAACTGTAAGCTGAGGATTTTTTCATGCTATTTAACATGTCATTTGTAGTGTTTCATGAAAAGCAGACAGACATGTAAAGCTTTTTTTTCTACTTCAAAGCAGAATAAGTGAAATCCACTTTTGAATATTTAAAAGAGAATTTTAACA